GATAACCGATAAGGAAATGATGCGGTTAAGCTGCTCAGGGACTTGCAATAACTTGCTGTGATAAGAGCAGCTGTCATATCAGTTTTATTAACTCACTAAATCACCTCCAATAAATAAGATAATAGCTTTTGCCCATCATGTCTGAAAACCAAGATTTGGTTGATCAAAGTCTACCAGAAATTAAAATGTAACTGATTCAAACAGTCCACCCTGTTCATGCTATTTATTAATGAGCTCACCCCCTCCCCCTTACTTTGTTAAGCTATTTTGAGCAAAGACACATATAGGCTCTTTTTGTTCATTTTGTGTCCCCAGAGGCTAGCCACTACGAAGAATGTAAATATGATGCTTATTAATTAATATTAATAGTGAAAATTTTTAGCAGCAGATAACCTATCTTATAGTTCTTTATACCCCCAAAGCTCTTAAGAACCATGCTTTGTACCTCAATTCCAACTTAAGGTATTATTCTTGAACTATTCATAACCATAAAATATGCATGGAGTTTTACTCTGTGGTACCCATAGAATTTCATTTTTTGAAGTTAAAATGAATTATTGACAAGTTCACTTACATTTTAAAGCAATTTGACAAATATTCAGCAATTGTTTAGAGTACTGTATTAAACACCTAGCAGAAATAATGGTTGGAAGATAATGTATTTGCATAGAGGATGCTTAGGGTTAAAATTAAGAGGCTGAGAATTCATTGGTGATGCAAATAGGCTTTCATATAAAATATATATCTCTAGGATTCATGAGATGACTATACTAGAGAATTTATTAGAGAAAATTTTATTTATTAGAAATAAATTAGAGATTAATGAAATATTTTTGTCTTTAAGAAAAAATCTGAGCCGGGCGGTGGTGGCGCACACCTTTAATCCCAGCACTCGGGAGGCAGAGCCAGGCGGATCTCTGTGAGTTCGAGGCCAGCCTGGGCTACCAAGTGAGTTCCAGGAAAGGCGCAAAGCTACTCAGAGAAACCCTGTCTCGAAAAACCAAAAAACCAAAAAAAAAAAAGAAAAAATCTGATAGTAATGAATCTTAAGAACTGTTAGAGCAGCCAGGATGCGATGGCACACACCTTTAATCCCAGCACTTGGGAGGCGGAGCCAGGCAGATCTCTGTGAGTTCGAGGCCAGCCTGGTCTACAGAGTGAGTTCCAGAATAGGCATCAAAACTACACAGAGAAACCCTGTCTTGAAAAAACAAAACAAAACAACAACAACAAAAAAGAACTGTTAGAACAGTGAAAGAATTTTTAAAAATTTGATTTAAAAAGACAAAGATAATAAAAAGTTCAACAAATTAATCATTTTGTTAATATGACTGATTTTTAGAAACAAGTGGGTTTTCTTACTTTTAATACTTGATAAAGCATAAACTTTAAAGCAGTTGAACCTTCATATAAATATTAGCATTGTTAGTGGGCTGTGTCTTTGTGGCCTTAAGCAAGTCAATATCCTTCTAACTATAGTTTTCTTATTTATAAAACATAGTAGTTCCTATCTTGTCTCAGTATTATAACTCTTTTCTTTTTTTTTTTTTTGTTTTTTTGGTTTTTCGAGACAGGGTTTCTCTGTGTAGCTTTGCGCCTTTCCTGGAACTCACTTGGTAGTCCAGGCTGGCCTCGAACTCACAGAGATCCGCCTGGCTCTGCCTCCCGAGTGCTGGGATTAAAGGCGTGCGCCACCACCGCCCGGCATAACTCTTTTCTAAAAGTTGAAAGCATATTTGATCCTCCATTAATATTATTTATATATTATTTAATTCTCAAAACAATGATATAAGGTATCATACAGACACTTTACTGATAGAGGCTGAGTGATCTGTCCAACGGTCACACGTCCACATATGAGAGTATAACATTCACCCTGATTTGTCCAACTTTAATTCTTACTCCAGCTATTAGGGATGCTATCTTAGATGTACTATCTTCCAAAATAAAAGAAGATGTCTTTTAGAAACAAAACCAGGAATGTTACCTGGGTAAGAATAATCACATCAAAGTATTACCCATTTCCAAGATGCATCTTGCTATATCTTCCAACATACCTAGTTTACACAAAGGACATTATTTCTACTTACAATATATAAATACCTGGAAGGGTGATAGCCATGTCATAAAAAGCAAATGGTATTTCAATAAGGCAGAAAATCTCAAATTGTTCATGCCTTGAGCATGTCTATGGCTCTTAATTATCAAATAAGTTGCCAGAAGTCGCCAAATGTTGCTATATCAACGTAAGAACTAGAGTGTGACTGTGTCACAATGGGCATGGTTAATGATTCATCGCTAATCCTAAAGGCTCCTTCTGGGATGAATTGACTTTCTCCGCAGCCTGCCCGCCCGCCCTCTTGCAGATCCTGTCAAGAGGACTGCTTGTGTTGCTTTGCCTCTTTGCCTCTTTGCCCCTATCTTTCTACTTCAAACACTGTCTGATCTCACCTCCACTCACAAAACACAGTGTTTTAGAAATCATCAAACCAAACTGAGCCAAACTTAACATAAAGATGACTTAGTTAGAAGGAAAAGGCTATTTTTTTTCCTGTTCCTGTTGTGGTATTTTATTCTTCTTTCACAAGCCAAGGTATTTTTTAAATTAATTAAAAAATCAGTGAACTAAGGATTGATTGACAATACATTATTTGTTAGACAACAGAAAGGATTAAAAACGAATGAGACAAAGTATCTGTCCTCAAAATATTATTGCTTAGGAGCCGGGCGGTGGTGGCGCACACCTTTAATCCCAGCACACGGGAGGCAGAGCCAGGCGGATCTCTGTGAGTTCAAGGCCAGCCTGGTCTACAGAGCGAGATCCAGGTAAAGGCGCAAAGCTACACAGAGAAACCCTGTCTCGAAAAAAACCAAAAAAACAAAAAAACAAAATATTATTGCTTAGGAAGGGGCTAAATTAATGTCATATTGAGATGGATACTAACAAACAGCTATGAGAGTGCGAAGAGCCTATGCAAACGAACAGAATAAGAGAATATTCAGAAGAGAAGGTTCAGGACTCATTCCTTCAAGTAGCTAAGATTTCAAAATACAAGTACAAGACTTCCCTCAGAAGGGGAAGCTACTATAGAGGAGAGGCAGTTTGGGTGATTTAAAGGGTACTGGGTGATAGTTTAGTGATATATCCTTAGTGATATTTGCATAGCAATATACTGAGAAACAGTAAGATAGGAAAATGAGTTGAAACCAAGTCATAATAGGCTTTGAATATAAAGGTAAGAAGTTGTCTTTAAGAGTAGAAATTGTGAAGCAGTGAGATGATTTAGCTGATAAAGGTACTTGCTGCCAAGCCTGACAAATTGAGTTCAATCCCTAGAAAGTACATGGTAGAAAAAGAGAATTGACTCCCAAAAGTTATTATCTGACCTCCACATGTGCCATGCATAACACATGTATAGACACACAGACATGCACACACATACACAGAGAGAGAGAGAGAGAGACAGAGAGACAGAGAGACAGAGAAAGAGAGAGACAGAGAATGAAAGAGAGAACAGATAAATATAGATACTTTTTTAAAGAGTTGAAATTGTGGGAAAGCCATTGAGTGCGGGAGAGATGTGATTCTGTCAGAACTCTGGAAAGCCAATGTGGAAATATTGTATTAAATGACTAGAAAGTCAAGGTGACACTATGAAAGTGAGAATGAGGAGAGACAAAGTCAGCAGAATTCAAAAAGTAGGACTTAATTTTTTGCAAGTGAGTAGAGCTGGCCAGTGCAAGGCACAGCCACTAGACATGTACAGGTAGGAGAAATGTTAACTATGGCTAGTTTTGAACGAGGATGTAAAAATATATATGGGATTTTAAAAACTCAATATGAACAAAACAAAATATCTACTCAAAATTTTATATGGATTACTTACTGAAATAATTTTTGATATACTGGGTTAAGTAAAACTTTATTAATTTTAATTCCATTCATTTCATTTTACTCTTGCTATGGTTACCAGAAAACTTTAAATTAGCATGGGGCTGTACTACCCTTCCATGGGTCAGCACTACACTGAAATTCAGGAGACAGTCTGTAAGATAGGATGATGGAGGAAACTGGGAGATGAGTGACTGAGAAGCCAGAGGCCAAGGTTCTGTGTTGAGGAGGGGATTGACAGAAAGAGCAAGTGCTAGGGAGGAACCAAGAAAGGTGAGTAATTGTAGAAATAAGCTATTTGGGTTTTTACCCAGTTACAGAAGTGTTTGGGCAGAGTAATGCGCCCAGCAGTGGGAGAAGTGAATGGTATCTAGTCTTTCAAGGAAAAAAGAGAAGAAAAACAAAAAAAAAAGTGATGATGAGTCTGACAGGTATAACCTGCTGGCTTTTTCAGTCAGTCTGAAAAATCTGATTCTGTTAGAAAATGAAAACATGGACAGAAGAATCACTGGTGAGCCTGAAATGGAGATCTGCAGAGATAGGGCTAAAAGAAAAGCCAAGAATGCCCAGATGCAGGCCGCATACAGCTTATTGTATGTTCATATTAACAGTGAGAGATGATCGAGCAGGTTGTTATGAATGCCTTTTGTCTTGAATGGTGGAAAGGGGATGTGAAATGGCTGAAATGATCATCTAAGTGAGAAAAGTCTAGGAAGAATGTGGAGGACAACAGAGCTCCCCTTCTCTTGTTGACCTTGTCCTTGAGGGGATGTGGTTGATCTCATTGGTCATTAAATTTTGTCTTGTACATTCCTTGTTCATGACACTGGTGACTTCCACAATGGCTTAAAATCATGAAAACTATTCACTTAACCTATTTCAGGAGAAAGCATGATAGATATTATGGGTGGTCTTCATAAATGTTTCTTTCTAAACTTTATTCTAATATATACCCTTTTCTTTTATTCTAATATATACCCTTTTCTTTTATATGTTTTCCCAGTTCATCTACTTCATCAAGAAAGAAAATATCTGATTCCATTCACTGATAAAGACAGTTGTCTTACGTCTACAAGTATAAAGGAGAACCCCATTGTTCCAGTCTTACTTTGAATGCCCTCTTGTTCCAAGTCTTCGTGTTGTCAGGAGAGGGAACTTTTGGCGAATTGTCTAAAAAAGAAAGATAAAGTTTGTAACTTGTGTAACTCTAATGCAAGCCATTCCTGTCCTACTAATTTAAGAAAGTAAATGGTGGACTAAAAGGAACACTTAAGCTACAGGAAAGTAATACACGTGTGTTGATAAGAATGACATCAATTACCATGGAAGAGCCTGCCAAGATCTATTTTTGCTTGATGTAACTACCAAAGCAATAGTTACTTTATTTACACACACAGGAGGACTGTTTAGATTCCTCTATAATAATTCCATTCAGGGGTTTACCCCCATTAAATATCCATCACCATTCTGAAAGGATCCTTGGATCTGAAGGGAGCTCCATGGAAAATTTGATGAATTAATTACTTCTAGTTTTATCCGATGTTCAAGGTGCTCTGTGATTCCCACTTAAGGATAATTGCCATAAGGTAGACTCAGAAAAATTGTAGGACTAACATGGACATCTAAAACTGTCTCATCCAGCCTCAGAGGGTGCACTGAGCCTTGAGGAGACCGATTATCAGCAAGTATAAAGTAAGCTAATCACAGGCATGGTTCTAAGCCCATGAGTACCACGCTCCATATTACACTCTCTGTGTAAGAAAACATGTTTTCAAAATAATTAAACTACTTTTTAACATTATTTTATCTTATATGCATAGGTGTTTTACCAGCATGTCTGTCTGTGTATTACATTCATAGAAAGACCAAGGAGTCCAGAAGAAGTATGGGATCCTCTGGAACTGGAGTTATTGAGGTTCATCTGGAAGAGCAGTCAGTTCTCCTTACCCCTGAGGCATCTCTTCTGCCCCCAAATAAATTACTTCTTCAAAGTATGGAGTTGAGCCACTGTTAAAGTGGCCTTTTAAAGTGGGGAGCTAGGAGTAATGATGCATGCCTATAATTCCAACACTCAACAGGCTGATCAGGGGAATCACAAGTTCAAGGCCAACCTGAGCTACATAATTAGTTTAAGGTCAGCCTGGGGTACGTAGAAAATTCTGCTCAAATCACTTGTCTCTTCCTGCCCTGAAAACCTGCGAATCGGGACCGTAATTCTTATTGTTTTCTAGGCAATGAGTCTTCTACAGGTTAGGATCTGGACTTTGGAGACCAAAACTTCCTTCAGTTCTGCTAACATATCCTAAATCATCAGAGGACAGACAACTGAAAGGGGTTTAAAAGATGAGTGTTTTACCAAGGAATTGATATTATTTCCTGGTTCTCAAAATGATGTCAGCATATGTAAGTCACCTAATGTCAGATTCATAGATTCCCATCCTAATGATAGAAATGACAGAAATTTAACCAATCCCACCATAAAAATGTTAATTCTATGGCATAAACATCTTCATACTGAAACAAAGGTTTAAGACAGCTACTTAAGCAGCAGAATAAAAATCTATCAAAAACTCGATATATTGGCTGGACAATATAAATAATGAGAGCCTGCATTTGTGAGTTTGCCTTCACTTATTTTTGCTTCCCAATGTAGTTTAACTGTATTCTTGAATGCATCCTTTGTGAAGGAACATGCTACTGTTTTATGGAGCTTGCCTTGAGCTCACAATAGATCTGATAGCCAGTATTTGGAGACTCAAAAAAAATCAAGATGTAAACGTATAGCAGTTCCAAACAGACACTAAGGAAGCTCATTTATGCTTGTAAAGCAAATGTCTTAACATTCTCTGAAAGAGTTCATTCAGATAAATTGGTTTGCACATTGTCAACCTAATTTGTTAGTTGTAAGGTAGTAGCCAATATATATCATATACCTTTCCAAAGGTGGCCGCACAAGCTGGTTCCAGTTTCTCTTTCCTACAGAAATCTAAATAGTGAGCATAAAGAATGCACCGTGGGAGACAAACTCCTTCACACACTATGTAATTGTCTTCAAGCCTGAGAGGAAAGGGCAAGAATTAGTTCAAATCTTTTCACTATTACCTCCCTGCCCCCTCAATGACTTAATGCTCTTTTTGAAAACAAACTACACAAGTGAATTAATGAGCAGACATAAATGGGCTTTCTTTGTCTGGATGCTGTTTAAAATAATACCAGGATAAAAATAACCAAAAATTGTATGCTATGTATCTCAAAATTGTTGAGAGGAATTTGAATGGACTTTCCATAAAAAAATCATAGCAGTTTATGGCTATGGATATACTGCTTACCCCGCTGTCACTATCCAGTGTTTACATAATCAAAATGTAACAGGGGACTTAAAAGATGTGTACAAAGGTTATGGATAAGTGTTAATTAATTTTCCAAGAACAGAAATGCTCTTGATGATCCCCCTTAACTTGGCAAGCCCTAGAAACAACGTCTGGAAGTCAGAAACAGAAGGAAGGTCTGAAGAAGTATCAGACACCCTCTAAAAATCTGGACAAGCAAATGGCAATTTCTAAAGAGGGCCACCTCTAAGGGAATTGTAGGTGACCTCTAGGAGCTGAGGGACACAGTTCTACAGTTCAGGGAGTAAATTCTCTCAACATCCAGTGAGATTCGAGAAACGACAGCAAAAAGGTCTCGTGAAATTCCAGCATCAACTAGTCTCTTAATTTCTGTCTGGCAAGGCCATGAACTTAGTGCCAAGGTAGCCTGTCTAGACTCCTGACTCACAGGAGCTCCAAGGCTATATGTTTGTGTTGTAAGCAAGCACAGGCGTGCCACTACATAAACACAAACAAAACGTAAGGATTAATTTTAGAAGAGTAAGAACCATCGTGATCAGCTGTTAGTACAATTACAATGTGATGTTAATGTAGAAAACCCTCCTTCCAGGCCTCCATAGCAAATGCCGGCTCTTACTTCTTCATAAATTTTCAGTGTTCAGTAGTTTACTATTTGATCTAGAACTATACATGGAGCCACTGAAGATGCTACATTTTTAAAAGAATATCCTCAGTTCAAAGGGATTGCCAGGCTTCAGCTTGTCAATCATCAGACACCCTTACTTTCATCCACAAACTATTTCTGAATCCTGAACAACAAGAGAAATCATGGTGCTGTATTTGTTTGGAAAAGACACCAGAGTAAACTGACTTCACCGAAGCTGAAATGATGATCTAATTTCACTCTTAAATCTTTTTACTGTAATTAAAACTATGGTCATCTAAATCATCTACTATACCTAAAACAATATGTCTCTATGAAGTCTCCAAATATATAACAACTCTGCAGTACAGATGTAACTATATAAACTTCGAAAATCTGGGTAGATTTCCATTTGATTTCAACTAAATTTAATGTAATGAACATATTTGTGTTATAATTATCTGAATGACAATCTAGAAACCAAAGCTTCGAGATTCAATCCCCTTTTTTTCTAATTGTTCAGTAAATTATCTTTACTAAAATGCACTTAAACTAATTTCATGCTTAATAAAATCATAATAATTTATAATACAAGAAAAATGTAAATACAGTGTTATTCAAATTAAAATTGGGTCAAGTCTTTCAAGATTTCAGATTTAACATACTCTCAATGCTCACAAAATAAAAGTTAAGAGACTTAATCCATGAGTTTCAGACACCAATTGTTCTTTTAACTAAAATATCCAAATCAACTAGGATATTCTTTTAATTAATAATATCCAACCCAACTAGGATGTAGTATTTCAAAACAAATAAATTTGCCTACCTAAAATTGAATAGCTAATTGACAATAAAAGTTGGAATTAATATGCCATATTTTTACTTTGATTTTCTGTTCTAATTTTAACACTCCCAAGACAATTCTACAGCTTTACAGATTTTTCAAAATCCAAATAACTTAAGGTTTTAACTCATTTTTTAGAATATTGGGAAAATCAAACAAAAATGTAAGAGCTTTATAGTCTTCAAAACATGAAAACTCTTGTGAGAAATAGTTATTTAAAAACTTGCATTTTAAAGGTAGGAATACAATACCCACAATCCATTTATTTGGGTAATTGTTTTTATAGTCATTGTTTTGTTTTCAAAATACTGAGTTAAGCTAGACATATATATGGTAAGAATTTTAAACAAACCCAAGATTGGTTCCAGTCACTCAGTTTGAACTGAAAATCTGGAAGAGATCATTCAAAATAAATACAAAATCCAAACATTTTCCCAGTTACCCTTATGACAGCAGCTGTTTCCTAAACATCCCAGATAATTTCTCAATTACTTACACTTCCAGTATATTTTTAACTGGTAATCGTGACAACAGACTTCAACAGTCAAAACAAAACTTTTCAGGAATATTTGTTATATATTTCAAATGTTGGAAGGGTTCAAGCATAGTTTCAGAACTTCAGGCTATGCAAACTAGAACCTACTGATTAAATAATAAAAATAAAGTTTACTAGCATTTATAGATTCTATTTTTCGATTTTTTTTCTAATTCTTAGATAATACTAGATAGCTAGAAAGAATAACTAATCAGTAAATAAGTAATCTTTCACTTATTATTCGGAATTAGGGGAGAAATTTGTGCCCTTAATTCTTCACATTATGCAAGGGTTCTTAATGACACGGTCTTATTTTAGATGTCTCTTCCTTTTACACGAGTGTTACAAAACTCTGTTAATGTGTAGAAGACCTGGTGATAATCTCTTAGTTTTAAAAGATCTTAGGCACAACTCAATTTGTAATGTTTTGCTATAATAAATCATAAATGTGATATATTATAAAAATTCAAAATTGTTTAATCATGACAGCTTAACCGATGTTTCCGTTTTTTACTTCTAACTCAATCCATCTATTTTCTGACTGACACAGTATCTGCCCTCCTGCGGATTAAGGCAGAGTTAAGATCCTTGCATTTTTTGTTATTTTGAAGGGTCATATCTGGAAAGCATAAAAACACCAAATAAATAGATTTCATGCTTAGCAAATAATCACAGAAAAAAATTCATCACCGTGGCTTTATTTAAAAAAATGTATCCTATTTATTAAAAAATATATCCTTTTTTATCATGATCAGAATATGGATCGTGTGAACAGGCAGGGAAAAGAAAATGGATGCATTTCTCATGGGTCTTTTAAACTTGTGGAAGTTTTAGGGAGAAGCAACTTGGGGAAAGCCAGGATCCTAGAGACAGCGGCTGGTGGACTTCAGCGGGTGCGCGCGCGCCAGGGCCGGCTTACCACTGCAGGGTCAGCTGAGTCTGCTTCTTCTTGTCCTTCATGATCTGCGTGATGCTCTTCTTCTGAGAGAGCTGAGTGTCGGCCGCTTTGGTCTTGCTCTCGTGCGTGTCCGCATCCTCTTCTTCCGAGGAAAAGTTCCCATTGCTTAAATGCATCTCTGAGGGCGAGTTTAAGGGATGACAAAGAACAAGAGAACGTGCGATCAGTCCGGTGGCCTCCACATCTACCTGCTTTGCGTTGAACTGGGCGCCCGAGGAGGAAGGAGCAAGGTAGGAGTTGAGCAAAACCCTCGGAGTTAACAGTGGTTCCGTTAACATTTTTTTCCTGGTGAAATAAAATGGTCCCGACAGAGCACCCCACTTATGTGTGTATTCAGAGTGGATTTGTTTGTATTGTTGGACGCCCTTAGGACTCAGCCACTGTCTGGCCGCCGGCCGGGGCGAGCGGAGCACTCACCTGATTTGACTCCCACCTGCAGCCTGGGGTCTCCGCCTTTCTCCCCGCTGCCCGGGGCGCCCGCAGCTGCTCCGGCAGCCAGGTACGCACTGTCCTCGGGGTAGACCAGCAAGCCCTTGCCCAGCAGCTGCGCGCAGCACTCCTCCGCGATCTCGGAGGGAAGTTGAGGCGAAGGCTGCTCCTGCACGAAGGCGTCTTCCAGCTCAGGGACCTTGGCCATCCTTTCCAGCGCTTGGATCTCGGCGCTGGCCGGGAGCTTGGCCCAGCTCGGTGTTGAGCCCAGAGCCCCGGGGCGGGGCGGGGGTGGGGTGGGGGGAGAGGCGGGGCTGGGGACCTGTGGCCGCTGGGCAGGGAGGAGGCCGCAGGCTCAGAGCCCCCCGATGGCCGAGAGGGGACAGGGTGAACAGGTACCGCACAGATGGCCGGGTGGAGGAAGGGAGGGCGGAGGCAACGCTGCCTTTTTCCCGAGCGGCTCAGGTCTGGGCAGAAGCTTGCTCCCAGTTTAGCTAGCTCTCCTCTGTACTGGGACAAGCAGCTTTAACTGTCCTCATCTGTATTCTCAGGAGACCTAACCTAGGCACCTGTCAGGACAGCCTTGACTCTGCAAGCGTCGGACAAGAGGGAACAAAACCTAGAGGACTATCCAGTCTTCGCCAGTCTTCGCACCGCTTTGGACAGATGTATTTCCAGAATAATCCAAGGATAGAGGAGCACCCTCTTCAGGGACTGGAAGGCAGAGCTGGTCACATCACCCTGCTCTGCACCGTGCACTCTGCCCTGCACCGCGCACACTGACTTGGACCCTTGGGCCTCACAACTCTGGAGATGGGAGGGAAAGATCCATTTCCTTGCAGTTCCATTACAAAAAAAAAAAGATTTGCATCCTTCACAATTTTTCATTTCATGCCGTCATGCCAAGCAGTGAGTGGTACAAGGGATGTTTGCTTAAATTTAATCACATTCTAGTCCAAAATGACGGAAGTCGTGTTTGTTTTTTTAAAAAAGTAAGTTGAATTTTCTTTAAAGAAGGGTGCTATGGGCGGATGTGGGATCCTACTGACGGGTTGACACGTGGTTTTCCTCATTCTATTCTATATCCTTGACAAACAGGCCCTCCAGGAAAAAGATAGGATCAGGCACTGGTTCCCAATGTTTCATCACAGTCAATCCTGTATTTTCATTTGGGGGCATTAGAAGGAGGTATCAGCCTTGAATTTAGCATGAAATAGCATTAAATTGAAATCACACAGACAAAACAAAATGAGACCCGGAGTGTCCGATAACTGCAGGGCCAGTTACAGGGAGCAGTCTCCCCAAGAGCAGCGTTCCCTCAGGGCCCCTGAAATTGTTCTTGGGGTGCAGCTTCCCCATTTTCAACAGCACTTGCTGGAAAAGGCGTCGCCTCTCTCAAAGCTCTTCTCACCAGCTTCCTGTGGTTGCTGAAAGGCAGGCTGGAGCCGCACCTACCCACACACCCACAGTTCTGAGGCTATTCCCTAAGCAGGACAACTTGGCATATTTGTCTTCTCTACCCAGTCCTCTGAAATCCTTGGAGCCTTAGCGTGTAGGTCTTTTCACTTCAGTGCTCGCATGGACAGCATGCTACCTTTACAGAGATACACTCAGGTGCGTTCTGCCACGGAAGTCCTTTTTGTGTTCACAAAAGGGCTCTATCCACTCATGTCACATAACCATGAGAGAAATGTTCAGAAAATGACTGGAATTTCTCCTTTAATTTTAAAATATAGACCACTTGATATCCAGAAGGTGTGTTTGTGTATGTGAGTCATACAGACACTAAGTGAATATTTGGCAGTTTTCCAATTAAACTGATCAATGGAAATGCAAACTAGTATCTTATAAGGCCCTACACAAATTTCTGGCCATAATTTGAAGTAAAAACTCTGCTTTTCAAATCACCATTGAAGTTCTTTGTGCTACTCTTCAGAATTAAGAATTATTAGTAGGCATGAAACAATTAAAGATGTAAATCAGTAATCAATAATCTTCCAAAATTAAAAATCCCAAGACAAGGTGGCTTCAATAGTAAATTGCACCCAGAGTTTAAAGAATTGATGTCAACCTTTTCTACAAGGATACAGTGACAGCAGTGCTCAGGTGACGGGGCAAGACGGCCCTTATTTTGGCTGGCCATGTGTGATTTCAATAGCCCAGGTTTCCATGGGGATGTGTTCTAAGATCCCCAGTGTTACTTGGAACTATAGGTGGTATCAAACTCTGTCTATGCTTTTATTCCCTATATGCCGTGCAGTGTTACCATTCGGAACCAAAGCCAGTCTGCCCTTCCATGTTTCGGTGATGGTGTCTTTTCTGTCTCATTAGTCTTTCATTTGGGAGTCATGAGAAAGTAAAACAAGGGTTAATGGAGCCCAAGCCCTGCAATACTCCAAGAGTCCATCTCACAACCCAGAAAGCATACACAGTATAGATATGCTAGACAGAGGGGTACTGCTCCTTACCTGGGACTACTTGGCATCCTTGTCTCTACCAAGTCCTCTGAAAGTCTCCAAGCCTGCTTGGTGTGTAGGGTTTGCCTCTTTAGTGCTAATGTGTAGACACACTCAGGCACATTCCATAGTGGAAGTCCTCTGTGAGGGTGTCCTGGGGCAATTGATACATGAGTAAGTAGATTGATTGAGGAAGACAGGCACCGACTGTGTGAGCATCCTCCAACGGGGGAGGGAGGCCAGGGAGAGCACACAGGAAGAAGGTAAGATATGCACATGTGTGCTCAATTGTTCTTTAGCCATTGCATTTCCTGCAGGGACTCTTGCCCATAGGTATAAGATTTCAGATTCTTCAACCTTTGACATGAACTTGCACCATACCTCTCTAGGAGAATTCCAGGGCTGCAGCCTCAGACTGCCACTATACTGTTGGCCTCTTTTCCTTGTTCTGAGGATTCCAGCTTCTTGAACTAGTCTGGTACTTGTTTCCATGGCTCTCAGCCTGAAGTTGGCCATCGTGGATCTATTTCTGCCTAAAACTATATGTGCTCATCCAATGAACCCTCTCATAACAATGTGTATAGCATTGGTTCTGGTTGCCTGGAAAATAACACACAATTTATGACAAGGGCAGAAAGACAAGCCAATGAAAAGCTTTTCAGTTAACATCGCTAAAGCTTTATCAAAGAGTGACTGTAGAATCCTACTTCATAGAATACTCAAAAATCAAATTAGACTAAAGCTCCAAGTATACAATCTGCAACTGTACAACTCTCAGAGACCTTGACATGCATATCCCTGGCCTTGAACTTGGCCCAGCCTTCTTAAACACAATGGGATGCAAGCAGCTAAGGAAAAGTAGACCAACTGGATTCCTTCAGAATTCATCTACCTGAAGGCTACCAGAAAGGTAGACAATCTGTGTACACAATGGGAAATAGTTAAAAGTCATCCCATAAGATTTGAATATTTATAATACATAAAACCTTTTACAGCTCCAAGATCAAAAGACGTTATCCTGATTTCTAAACTGAGCAAAAGAAAAAAGGAGAGGATGCAAAGTAAGGAGGGAAAGTGGATGTGGGAAGGGTTTAAGAGGATCAAAATACATTGTATGAAATTCTCAAAGAACTAACAATAGCTTCAAAAATGTTCTAAAAATGAATGAAATGTTTAAATAGGCATTTGATATTGGTGTGAAAGATAATAAGTATCACTCAAATTAGGAAAATGCACATTAAACCCGCTGTTAAGTATCAATTTATACCCACAAAGGCTACTACAATCTTATAAATACAAAGCATAGAAAATAATTGTTGGTGAGATTGTGAAGTCATTGGGACCTTCATCCATTGCTGGCAGAAATATAAAACAGATGAAAAAAAAAGATGAACATATGATCCAATAATTTCATTCTCAGATTCTCATTCCATTCAAGCAAATGGAAATTAATATAAAAATGTTCACGATAGCATTATGGATAATACCCAAAAAAGTGACAAAATACAAATGCCTAATCAGTTTCTGGATAAAGAAATTCAATGTGGTATAACATACAAGGGAATAGTGTTCAATTGTAAAAAATGAAGTACTAATATATGATATTATTATGTGTGATCTCTAAGAACATTATTCAAACTGAAAAAACTTATATACAAAGGACAACGTATTATTACATTCACAGGAAATAATCAGAGCAAGAAAATCCATAGAGACAAAAAGTAAATTAATGTTACTGTCAGGACCAGAAGTAGGAACAAATGAAGAGTTCCTCTTTAATGGGTACAGGCTTTGTTTTAGAGGAGAATGAGATTTTTCTGGAATTACATAGTGGTTGAATAGTGTGGGCATATAGAAAACTATAGAATTGTATACTTCAAAATGATTCAATTGGGAAATTTTATCTCAACAAAAAATACTTTAAAGCAAGGGAGGCAATATTATAAAGAAATAGCTTAAGAATCTGCTACATTCTGACCAAGTAAGAACTACTATTTCATCTGAAAAGGAAATGTACAATACTTGAAATTTTTCCATTCTTGATTCTCAAAATATGAGCTATCAATCTTGAAGTAGAAAAGCCTAGGAGATAGTTTAGTGCCCTAGGACCCTCACTTGGTTTGGTATTATGCAAACACACACACACACACACACACACACACACACACACACACACACACACACCTTGTAATAAATGCACTTGGCAGCTCAGGTTTTTTACCTGCACATATTATGCGTACACACCCCTTTGCAAACAGTGCAAGTAGCATTTGTTTTCAACCCCTAAACCCTCCAGCTACACTGGGCTACACCTACTCCCATCTCTGAACAATGGCATAAGTGTCCATGCCCTTGGTAATGATCAAATTTAGACGTTTCTCCGTGAGTGTATTCTCAATGTGGCTAGGAAGGAAGAGTGGGAAAACCACTCCAGGCTGAGCTTGTTTTGGGTGCATGTACAGCAAGGCAAAATCATGTCCTCAAGTGACCTTTAAGGGAGAATTCCCTATTTACTATCTTATGCCTATGCAAAGATATACATATGATTAAAATCAGTTGTATTGGGGGAAAGGACATCTGAAGCAGGAAAAAAAAAATGTGTGACCTAATCTATCAATCAAAGTAGACAACCACTCAAGTTATGGCACTTAGTAACCAGTCCCTCCACGTGAACCTAATAAAAGAAAGCCCTGAGAAATAATCAAAGCCCTTGAATATCTTCACTCATGAGGCCCATTGTCAATCTTAACAA